GAAATGAACCGGTGACCTCTTGGTACACGGGTCAATGCTCAACCACTGAGCCACACCAGCTGGGCATATGTAGAGGATTTGCTTGTGATAAGTGTATTATTTCAAAAAAATTCATTATAAGTGGCTAGTGCCACAATGATCTATTTTATCTTGTCTAATTAATGTAATAAATCATTGTGGCAGAGTTCCCGATAGAGTGCCTCTGCAGGCCTCCGTGCCTCCATAGAGCTTGCAGGACGTGTTTCCTTTGGCAGCAGTTAACTTGGAGCTCCACAGAGCTGGAGTAAGCACGCCCCCTTGCCAATATCAATGGGCTTCAATTAAAGCCCCAGAAATCTATGTTCTACTGGTATAATCCCATCCTTTTCTCCCAAACCCTAAAACCATCTTCATCATCTGCCTTGGGACCATTGGAGCTAATATCTCTAAGCATTTTATCCCTGTTTATATCAGCTATTTTAAGAAGTCTAGGTCTCCATTTCATCTCTCATTCTCCAGACTCTAATTCCAAACTCCTGGCAAGATTGATCAAGAAAACAGAAAGGAAAAATGTACAAATAAACTATATTAGCAATGAAATGTAGCCACAACTAGAATTGCTACAATAATTTATAAATAAGAGACTATTGTTAATGAGACAATAAATTTGATGAAAATTTTTAAACTTCCTAGAATAAGTAGAACGAAATCTGACTCAAGACAAAATACAAAACTAGAATTATCTTATAACTATTAAATAATCTAAAGAGATAGTTTAAAATACTCCCACTACCCTCCCCCCAAAAAAGTGAAAACCCACCCAAAATAGGCAGTTGTAGAGGTGAGTTCTATAAAGCAGTCAATGAAAAGATATTACCAACCATCAATAGTTCTTCTAAAATATTTTTCAAAGAAATGAAGAACATTATTTAACTCACTAAGAGTAATTCAACCATCTTAACAAAACCAGAAAAGCCAATCATACTGATAAACATAAATACAAATTATAATTAAAATGTTAGCAAAGGTAGCTATATTTTGATAAAGGAACAGAGCAAAGGGAATCAGACATTAAGAAGCCTAATCTACTAAGAAGTTGCCGCATTCATAGGCACCTTTTGGGGTCAGAGGATTTCCCCACCAAGGGAATTAACACACTTTCCTCCCCCTGTAGAGAAAAAGGACCAGCTTTCCACACTCCCCAGGGTACAAATGGTTCATTCCCCCAGATTATGGTGGGAGAAATAAACAATAAAGGGGAAATTCCTCTTCTGGGCAGATGTCCAATGGAAACCAAGATGGCGCAAGGGGAGGTACTTCTACTCTGAAGCACTTTCAGTAGGAACTACAATGACGACTATAAAGGGGAGGCACCTAGCCTGGGAAAAGGATCAAATTGGATAAGGGTCACAGAACCCCTGAAGATCTAGGAAATGGATTTTTTTAGGGGAGGAACCAGTAGAAGCCCTGGAAGGACTGGGAAATTGATTGCTTAGTTTGAAAGGGTGCCTAGTCCTTCCCAAGACTGAGATAATATAACAGAATTTAACAATGTATAAAATAGGTACTGTTCCTGGGAGTTGTAGGCAGGATTTAGGGAGACCCGGGAAACCCAGAAATGATTGCTGTGGACTTCCGGTCAAGATGGCGGCATAGGTAAACGCGGTATCGCGTCCTCCCACAACCACATCAAAGTTACAACTAAACTACAGAACAACCATCATTCTAAACCGCCTGAAATCAAGCTGAATGGAAGTCGTACAACTACGGAATTTTTAAAAAAAGCAGCCACATCCAGACTGGTAGGAGGGGTGGCAGCGCGAGGGGTGGCGGCGGCGCGGCGTCAGCGTGGCGGTGCGACGGGCTGGTCCCACACCCAAGCGTGGCGGATAAAAATCAGGAGGCTTCCGCGGCTGGGAAGGTCCTTCCTGAGGACTGAGGGGTCCCCGTCCCACACCAGGTGCCCCGTTCAGGGTTCCAGTGCCAGGAAGAGAAGTCCCCATAACTTCTGGCTGGAAAAACCAGCAGAAACTGAGGCTCAGGGAAGCTGAAGCGGCTGGAACCCCAGGCAGCTCCCTAAAGGGCCGGCGCACGGACTTATCGGACTCTCTCCCTCTAAGCTCGAAGGGGAGGCAGCTCGAGGGGCGCCAGAGACATACAGGGAAGAACTGAGCTGTTTGGCACTGGAGCGAGGGCTGGAGAGGGGGCTTCCTCGGGGACAAATGTGCTGTCAGAGGCCTTTGTTCCTTTGGTGAGCCCTTCCCGGAGGCGGCAGACAGAAGCCATAACTGGGACCCCAGCAACCTGGCTCACACTGGTAGCCCCGCCCTGCTGACTCCCTGAGGCCCCGCCCCGCCCCACACAACTTTCAAGCCCGCCCAAGCTGTTGCCACTTGCTTAACCATAGGATTGGCCCGGTCTTGGATCCTGCTTCAGGTTTTTCCTAAATTCTTTCAAACGAGCAGCATCGGGTCTCAGCGAGCCCCATACCTCTCATTAAGTAATACACAGAAACAAACACAGGGAGGCAGCCAAAATGAGGATACAAAGAAACAGGTCCCAAATGAAAGAACAGAACAAAACCCCAAGAAAAGAACTAAGCGAAAGGGAGATAAGAAACCTAACAGATACTGAGTCCAAAATACTGCTTATAAGGATGCTCAATGAACTTAGTGAGAACCTCAGTGAACTTAGGGAGGGCCTCAAGAGCATAAAAAAGGACCAGTTAGAAATCATGGATACACAGTTAGAATTGAAGGAGGCAATAGCTGAAATAAAGAATAATTTACACAGCTTCAATAATAGAGTATGTAAATCCAAGGAGCAAACCATCGATTTGGAATATAAGGAAGCAAAAAATCCCCAATCAGAACAGCAAAAAGAAAAAAGAATCCAAAAAAATGAGGATAGTGTAAGGAGCCTCTGGGACAACTTCAAGCGTGCCAACACTCGCATCTTGGGGGTGCCCATAGGAGAAGAGAGAGAAGAAGAAATCGAAAACCTGTTTGAAACAATAATGGCAGAAAACTTTCCTAACTTGGTGAAGGAAACAGACATACAAGTCCAGGAAGCACAGAGAGTCCCAAACAAGATGAACCCCAAGAGGCACACACCAAGACACATCATCATCAAAACGCAAAAGGTTCAAGACAAAGAGAGAATCTTAAAAGTAGCAAGACAAAGGCAGCTAATTACCTACAAGGGAGTACCCATTAGGCTGTCACCTGATTTCTCAAAAGAAACTTTGCAGGCCAGAAGGGAGTGGCAAGAAATATTCAGAGTGATGAAAACCAAGAACCTACAACCAAGATTACTCTATCCTGCAAAGCTGTCATTTAGAATCGATGGCCATATAAAAACTCTCCCAGACAAGAAAAAGTTAAAGGAGTTCATCACTACCAAACCATTATTATATAAAATGATGAAGGGTCTTTTTGAAGAAAAAGATAAAATGTATGAACAAACAAAATGGCAATGAATACATATCTATCAACAATGGAATCTACAAACAAAATGAACAAGAAGAACAGAAACATTCTCATAGATACAGAGAACATTTTGTTGGTTGCCAGTTGGGAAGGGGGTTAGAGAATGGGTGAAAAAGGTGAAGGGATTAAGAAGCACAAATTCATTGCTAGACTGACAAACCTCAAAGGGAAAGGGGTTGGGGGGATGGGAAGAAATAAACCAAAGAACTTATATGCATAACCAATGGACACAGACAATAGTGTGGGAAAAGGTGGGAGGGGGGCGGGAGTGGGGAGGAGGGAGTCAATGGGGGAAAAATGAGGAACATCTGTAATACATTTTACATCCAACAGTAAAGATTTAAAAACAAAAAAAAAAACAATGTATAAAATAGAAAATTGGGCCCTGCCTGGTGTGGCTCAGATGGTTGAGTGTCATCCCATGCACCAAGAGGTCACCAGTTCCATTCCAGGTCTGGGCACATGCTCTGGTTTTCAGCTTGATCCCCAGTAGCGGACATGCTGGAGGCAGCCTATCGATGGTTCTGTCTCATCAATGGTTCTCTCTCTCTCCCCTCTCCCATCCTCTCTCACAATAAACACATAACAATAGCCCTGGCCGGTTTGGCTTAGCGGTTGGAGCATCGGCCTGTGGTACAGAGAGACCCAGGTTCGGTTCCCGCTAGGGGCACGTGCCTCGGTTGCAGTTTGTTGCCGGCCCTGGTTGGTCGTGCGGGTGGCAGCCACTCGATGTGTCCCTTCACATCGGTGTTTCTCTCTCTCTCTCTTCCTCTCTCTCCCTCCCGCTCTATCTGAACAAAAAATGGAAAAATGTCCTCGGGTGAGGATAAAAAAAAACAAAACATAAAAATAAATAAATCTATGGGAAATTAGATATATTTCAAGAATGAAAAGTTGTCTTAAGATGCAGGTGCAGTGCATTGACACAAATAAATCACAACAGGTTTCATTTTAATGAAAGCCGGTTTTAATATTTACATGAAAGATCAGAAATCCAAGAAAAGCCAACTCACCTCTAAAAGACAAATTGATGAATGTGTGTCATTATATAGTAAGTTATTTTAATTCTAAAGTTGTAGTAATTGTGTAACTGTGGTATAGTGTAAGACAAACATTAATGAGTATATAGAATAGGAAACTCAAAAACACTCCCATTCAAGTATGGTAACTTGATTTATATTAGATCAGTGAGAGCAGATGGGCTCGTAAATAAACTGTGCTGGTATAATAGATCCCCCCCCCCAAAAAAAAAAATAGAATTGAACAAATATATTATCATATTAACAAATCTAACCCTAATGATGATATAACAAATGGAGAAGACAAATTTTCCAGATGCACAAAAAGGCTACATGAGTAATTAGTTGATCACTTTAAGGAATGTGTTTTCAAGTTCAAGATCATCCCATGCCTCAGGCTACTGGTAAACACAGATAGAAATGAAAATAGAATGATAGCAACTCAGATCCAGAAAGACATAAAACTCCAAGGGAAAATGGTAGCCCTAGTATTGGCACATGTTCTTTGAAAGGCTCAGTTAGCAATACTGTTCTCAATGCAGCTCGGTTTTATGTATTGATAGGGAAGGTCTAGCTGCTCATTCCGAGCCACGATTTCCCTTTCCAGGTTGTCCAGATCTGTTTGAAATTGTCTTAAAATAGCCTTGGGCTCAAGGCCTGAGAAATATTCTTCTGTGTGATAACCCAGGGTTACCTGAAGGAAAAAAAGAAGATTGATCAGCTTCTAGTTCCAAGACACAGGGACCAAAGCTCAGCACCATACTCTATAATTTCTTCTCCAGTTATCAATGCCCCGGAATTCCCCAAATCCCCTCTTACCATGTTTGGCTGCTGCCATCCCACTTGCCTCATGAAAAGCATCTGAAGACAGCTCTGCTTGACATCAGGTAGTGAGCCCATCATTATGGCCATTGTCACATCTTCCTTGGTGGTAGGAGGGGGCATCCTCATTGTGCATGGGGCATTAGGGACCCAAGAGAACCAGTCCAGCTGAGGGAGGAAAAATCTAGAGTCAACCAGGAACTCTGATATGCAGGGCTCTAGCTCCCAACTCTTTCTTCTAAGCATACCCTAGACCAGGTATTTTTCCTGAGGGACCCAGGCTTTCAGCTGTCCATACCTGGCTCTGGTTGACTGCTGCATGCTGGCCAGTGCATCTGAAAATGCACATCGTAAGGAAATGACAGAGCTGAGCTCGAGACTGAAAGGAAACAGGGAAACCTAGGAGAAGAAATACCAAAGTTTAGAAACGTCAATCCTTGAAGGAGATCAGGAAATAAGAGCTGATGTCTGGAGATAACCATGTGTTCGAATATTTTTTCAAATATTATTTACCCATAATTAAGGAAGGCAACATGGATGGACCATGTGTGGACATTATGCTAAGTGATATAAGTAGACTGAGAAAGATATATATTTTATGACCTCATTTGTATGTAGAATCTAAATAAGGGGGAAAACCCCTGAGATCATAAATACAGAGAACAGACTGGCAGTTGCCAGAGGTAGGGTAAGGGTGGGTGAAATTGGAGAATGGGGTCAAAAGGTACAAACTTCCAGTTATAAAATAAATGAGTCATGGGATGTAATGTACAGCATGGTGAGTATAGTTAATAATACTGCATTGTATATTTGGACGTTGCTAAAAGGGTAGATCTTAAAAGTTCTTGTCAGAAGAAAAAATGTATAACTGTCTGGTGATGAATCTAATGTGGACTTATTGGGGTGATCATTTCATAATATATACAAACATTAAATCATTATGTTGTACTTCTGAAATTAATATAATATATATCAATTATACCTGCATTTTAAAAAATCACAAGATAAAGGCTACGACCCAAAGGTATAGGGTAAAGACTTCAGCAGGCATCTCATAGAGGATGTCCTGATGGCCGTGAATCAAGGGAAAGTATTCAGTGCGACGAGTCTTTAGGGAAATGCAACTTAAACTTACAGTAGGGACAGCTCCTGAGTAGCTAAAGTAAGAAAGACAGAAATATCTTTTTCACGTATTTGATATTATATGGAGCAACTGTAACTCAAATTCTGCTGAAAGGAGTGGAAACTGGCACAACCACGTTGGAAAAGGGTCCATAACTACTGAAGCTGAAGATTCGCGTACTTTATGATCCATCAGGTCCACAATAGGTATGAATAGAACAGGAAAACACACACAAATGTCCACAACAGCACTAATATTTACAGCCTCAAACTGGAAACAATACTAACTGCCCAACAATAGCAAAAAGGAAACATAAATGCTTCCTCAATAGATTATGACTGTCTTAGCGGTTCTCAACCTGTGGGTCGCGAACCCTTTGGGGATCAAAGGACCCTTTCACAGGGGTCGCCTATGACATAACAGTAGCAAAATTACAGTTATGAAGTAGCAACAGAAATAATTTTATGGCTAGGGGTCACCACAACATGAGGAACTGTATTAAAGGGTCGCAGCATTAGGAAGGTTGAGAATCCCTGCATGTCTGCTTATTGTTTATTTTCAGGATGGGTTAACGCTTTTCCTGTCAGAGGGCTATAGCCCTGTATTTGTTTCTTGGGTTGCTTTAATTAACTACTCCAAACTGGGTGGCTGGAGAAAAAAATGGTCCATAGTCATAAAATGGAGGTTACCACAATGATAATGAACAAACTACATGCTACATGCAACAAAGTGGGTAAATCCCAGACTAGGTGCTACCAGAATGAAACGAGACAGAAGCAAGGGTGTGCTTCTGGTTGCATTAGTGTAAGGTCAAGAAAAGTACAACTAACCCACCTAGAAGTCTAGATAGTGTGCACCTTCACGTGGGCACGACTGGAAGGACATACAAGAGGCTTCCTGAGGGGGCTGGTGAAGCTCTGACTCCTGAGCTGAGTGCTAATTACACAGGTATGTCACCTTAGTAACATCTTTAAGTTGTACACACGTGATTTCTGTACTTTTCTCTAGGTTTGTTGTATTTCAACAAAATGCTATCTCCCCTAAAGGGGTTCAGTGCTTACAGATAGCAGAGAAAGAGAAGTAATTGATTCAAGTACAGGGAGGATTCCAAAATCAGCTATCTCATTCCACTAAATATACAGGTGAGTATTTTAAAGGATAATTTCTATTATTATTCAGTTGTAGGGAGGCCAAGAGATCAGGAGATAACTGCCATGAAAAACATATTTGTAATAATCACAGATCCCAAGAGACTGGGACATGCCACACCACAAGGGGGCCACAGCCTGGGCACTGGGGTTGGGCAAGAGGCAGAGAGAGTGAGGAGAAAACTGTGGCAGGAGCCTATGCCATGGTTTCCATGAGAAGGATCAGGCAAGACAGAATAAGCAGGTTTAGGACTGGCCAGTTTCAATCATTTCAGTGGACTTGGGTGTAGGGCTGTCCCTAGTCTGGTACCTGGCCCTGGGTGATTGGGCCAGGGGAATAGAGGCTTAGAGTGTAAGAGCTCCATAAAGGTGGGGGTTGGGAATTCCTGCATATGAAAGGCACGCTCCCAGGGGAGTGGTTTGCTATATTTAAGAATTAGCTAGACCTAAGATCTGGAAACAGCCCAAATGTCCATCAGTAGACGAATGGATAAAAGAGCTGTGGTACATATACACAATGGAGTACTATGCAGCTGTAAGAAAGAAAGATCTCTTATCCTTTGAGATGACATGGAGGGACCTGGAAAGTGTCATCCTAAGCAAAACAAGCCAAACAGAGAAAGGCAAGTATCATATGATCTCACTTATTTGTGAAATATAATGAACATAACAGTCTGAGGAATGGGGTAGTCCCAGAGACATGGAAGTGGGGTACAGACTGACAATCCCCAGAAGAGAGGGTTAGTGGGGGAGAGATAAACCACAGAACTTATATACATGTATACATGAACAATGGACATGGACAACGAAGCTGTGGACAGGGCGGCGAGGGAGGGGGCGGAGGGAATCAGTGGGGGGAAAAGGAGAAACATCTGTAACAAAAATAAATTAATTAATTTTAAAAAAGGATTAGCTAGCCCTGGGAGGGGTAGGGCCTTTAGGGTCAGCAAGACCCCAAGATATCAAAGTATCCAAACCAGACTTTGGTCAAGATGGTGGTGTAGGTAAATGTGGTACTCACCTCCTCCTACAACCACATCAAAATTACAACTAAACTACAACCATCATTCAGAACCACCTGAAATCGAGCTGAATGGAAGTCCTACAACTATGGAATTAAAGAAGAAGCCACATTGAGACTAGTAGGAGGGGTGGAGGCATGGATGGGCAGGTCCCATACCCACATATGGCAGATAAAAATCAGGAGGACACCTGGGCTGGGAAGAACCTCCCTGAGGAGTGAGGCATCCCCGTCTCACACCAGGTGCCCAGCTCAGGGTTCCAGTGCTAGGAAGAGAAGTCCCCATAACTTCTGGCTGGAAAAACCAGCGGGTACTGAGGCAGAGGGAGGCTGCGGCTATGGCTGCAGGTGCCCCAGGCAGCTCCTTTTAAAAGGCCCATGCATGGACTCACTCAGACTTATTCCCTCTAATCTCAGAGGGGAGGCAACTTGAAGGGCACCAGACATGTGAGGGGAAGAACTGAGCTGTTTGGCCTTGGGAGGAGGGCTGGAGAGGCAGCTATCTCCTGGACAGAGGTGCTGGTGGAGGCTGGTGTTCCTTTGGTGAGCCCTTCCCTGGGTCGGTAGATGGCTGCCATATCTGGGACTCCAGCAACCTGGCTCATACTGTTTGTCCCACCCTGGTGATTTCCTGAGATCCACCCCACCCAAATTTCAGGCCCACTCAAGCTGTTTCCAAAGGATTTACCATAGGATTGGCCTGTCTTGGATCCTGCTTCAGAGTTTTCTAAAATCTCTCAAACAAGCATCGTCTGGTCTCAGCGAGCCCCGTACTTCTCATTAAGTGGCCCTAGGCCTGGCACTAGAAGCAGCCAGCCTTGGCTCACAACTTGGCTTTGCCTGGGCACCTCCAAGCCCAGCACAAGAAGCAGCCGTCTGCAGATCACTTTGTAGCTTATGCCAGGTAGCCCGGGATAGAACACAGGCAGTGACTGACCTTGCCCCAGAGCCAGCATACCCACTGCTCAGCTTCAGACCACATCAAAACACCACCACCCAAACACCTCCACAAATGACACACTCAGTGAGTAGACTCAGTGGGTACCAGAGCCCTGCCAAAGTAAATCTTGCTCTGTGTGGTGGGCCCCTCCACAGCTGGTCCTCCAAGGGAGTCAGAGGCCAGTGGTCAGTGGGCATAGCCAGTCCTTGCAGCTGATCAGCCTGAGTAAATCCCTCCCGTTAATGTGCCAACAGTATTCAAGACTCAATTACAACAGAAGAGTATATAGTCCACACTAGGGGTGCACCTCGAGGACCCAGCTGGGGCAATCAGGGAGGCTGTGCCACTGGACCCTACAGAATACCTACAATAATAGGCCACCCTACGAAGCCTAGAAGACATAGCAACTCTACCTACTACATAGAAACAATCACAGGGAAGTAGCCAAAATGAGGAGATAAAGAAACATGCCTCAAATGAAAGAAAAGAACAAAACTCCAGGAAAAGAACTGAACAAAATGGAGATGAGCAATCAATCACATGAAGAGTTCAAGACACTGGTTATAAGGTTACTCAAGGAACTTGGTGAGACATTTAGGGAACTTAGTGACACCTTCAAGGAACTTAAGGGGAACTCCAAGGAACTTAGTGAGAACATCAACAACATAAAAAAAAGACCAATCGGAAATGAAGGATGCACTAACTGAAATAAATAATAATTTTCAGTGAATCAATAGTAGAGTAGGTAAAGCCAAGAAGCAAACCATCGATTTGGAATATAAGGAAGCAGAAAACACCCAATCAAAACAGCAAAAAGAAAAAAGAATCAAAGAGAATGAGGATAGTGTAAGGAGTCTCTGGGACAACTTCAAGCGTGCCAATGTTCACATCATAGGGGTGCCAGAAGATGAAGAGAGAGAACAAGATATTGAAAATCTATTTGAAAAAAATAATGACAGAAAACTTCCTTAACTTGGTGAAGGAAGCAGACATACAGGTCCAGGAAGCACAGAGAGTCCCAAACAAGATGCACCCAAAGAGGTCCACACCAAGACACATCATCATCAAAATGCCAAAGGTTAAAGACAAAGAGAGAATCTTAAAAGCAGATAGAGCTCTCTTTTGTGGCACCTCGGATGTGGTCAGCTGCTTCGGGATAAAGCTGAACATTTCTTTCCCAGCCACTGGCTGCCAGAAACTCATTGAAGTGGACGATGAACGCAAACTTCGAATCTTTTATGAGAAGCGTATGGCCACAGAAGTTGCTGCTGATGCCCTAGGTGAAGAGGGCTACGTGCTTCAAACCAGTGGTGGGAACGACAAGCTTTCCCCATGAAGCAGGGCATCTGCTTCATGGCCAGGGCCGTGTTCGCCTGCTCCTGAGTAAGGGACATTCCTTCTATAGACCGAGGAGGATTGGAGAGAGGAACTGCAAATCTGTTTGGGGTTGCATTGTGGATGCCAATCTCAGTGTTCTCAATTTGGTCATTGTAAAAAAAAAAAAAGGAGAGAAAGATATTCCTGGTCTCACTGATACTACTGTGCCTCATCACCTGGGTCCCAAAAGAGCTAGCAGAATCTGAAAACTTTTCAATCTCTCTAAAGAAGATGATGTCCGCCAATATGCTGTGAGGAAGCCCCTAAACAAAGAAGGTAAGAAACCTAGGACTAAAGCACCCAAGATTCAGTGCCTTGTTACTCCACATGTCCTGCAACACAAATGTTGGTGTATTGCTCTGAAGAAACAATGTGCTAAGAAAAATAAGGAAGAGGCTGCAGAATATGCTATACTTTTGGCTAAAAGAATGAAGGAGGCGAAAGAAATGCACGAGGAACAGATCGCCAAGAGACGTAGGCTGTCCTCTCCGGGAGCTTCTACCTCTAAGTCTGAGTCCAGTCAAAAATGAGCTTTTCTAAGAGTAACAAATAAATAAGAAACATCAAATCTGAAAAAAAAAAAAAAAAAAAGCCGATAGAGAAAAGCAGTTCATTACCTATCAAGGAGTTCCCCTAAGACTGTCAGATGATTTCTCAAAAGAAACTTTGCAGGCCAGAAAGGAGTGGCAAGAGATATTCAAGGTGGTGGAAAGCAATGACCTACAACCAAGATTACTCTGTCCTGCAAAACTATCATTTAGCAATGGACATATCAAGAGTTTCCCAGACAAGAAAAAGCAAAAAGAGTTCATCACCACAAAACCAGTATTAAATGAAATGTTGAAGGGTCTTCTTGAAGGAGAAGAAGAACAAAAATATGAAGAATAAAATGGCGAATAATACATATCTATCAGCAATTGAATACAAACAAAATGAGCAAGCACAACAGAAACAGACTCCTAGATACAGAGTATTTTTTGTTGCTTGCCAGATCGGAAGGGGCTGGATGGATGGTTGGAAAAGATGAAGGAATTAAGAAGTACAAATTGGTTGTTAGACTGATGAACCTCAAAGGGAAGGGGGGGAGGGCAGGATGAGATAAACCAAAGAACTTCTATGCATATATGTGTAACCAATGGACACCGACAATAGTGTGAGGAAGGCAGGAGGGGGGCGGGATTGGGAAGGAGAGGGTCAATGGGGAAAAAGGGGGAGAACAACATTCAACAATAAAGATGAGTTTTAAAAAAAAAAAAAAAAAGTATCCAGACTGCCACACTGCAGAGTAAACAGACATAATGAAGCAGTGAGATGGGATCATAGACTTAGGTGCCTGAACAAGGTCATCTACTACAGGGTAGAGTCTGGACTCTCCTATTTCACATGCTGATCATATTGGGGAGGTATTTTTGGGGGGATCGAGCATATGATTCAACTCATCTAACACGATGTACTGTGCACCTCTCAGCACTGTCACACATTATAGCACTTGGGTCTCAAAAATTCTGTCATGGAAAGAGGTGAGGATGGTGGGTAAATATTATGTCCACTTTAGATGTAAGGAAACTAAAAGTCAAAGAGAAAGAGGTCAAATGCATGGCTCAGGTCACATGGATGAGAAGAGGCAGAAAGCAGTGCTTTAAAACAAACTCTAGCTGTGACCTTTAATGAGAATGATGAGAGAGTGATAGAGCAAAGAGAATATTGAAAGTTGAGGGAGAAGAATGGGGGAATCCGATTAAAGCTTATATGTGGCTGTATTCTATAAATGCTTAAGGTGAATATTTCATGAGAAGAAGACGGCCAGGGAGAGAAGGAAGCATCGTTGGGAGCATGGGATGCTTGAACAACAGCACTGAAAAACACCAGAGAACACTTGGTCCTGGACCGGTTGAGAGGTGAGGGAGGGTGGGTGCCCAGACCTCCCAAGGGAAGCCTCCTCCCAAGTATCTGGCATTGATATATTGAACCCTCCATCCCCAAGGCCTGGCCACAATGGCTTCCTAGTAAATGTCTGTACTTGTCCCACAGTCTAGGACAGGATTCAAGGTGTTGGTGTGAAGTATGAGGGGACAAGGCCTGAAGGACAATCAGACAGACCAGGCTAGCCCATGTGTGCCAGAGAGAGGAGAAGGAAACTAGGAAAAGCTCAAGAAAGCTATTTCTTCTTCACAGATGAACATGTGCAGTGGGAGAACTAAAGGTAGATCCTAGTGAGGGAATGAACTGGCCGGAGGAAACCGAGATTTAGTTTGCACCTAGAAATGACCTTGCACAGTGTGCCTGGACCCTCTGTGTGTGCTGGACAGTAGCAGGCAGGTGGAGAGCAAGGGACAGGCAGAGAGGGTCATCCTGGACTGTGGTGGGAAATGTTTTCCCATGTATATTCCCAGGAAGAGCATCAGAGAGCACAAGCAGGGCCTGGGCAGATCACCACTGGCTGTGGTTCTGGACCCACTGGGCCCCATGCTGCGGCAGGTGGGAGCACCTGAGACAAGGCATGGGGGATGGACATAAAGGCTGATGGCCAGGACCTCTGAGGAGGACAATCCTTGAGTTTCTAGAATTGTCCTGAGTCTTACGAGGTGGGAATAGGATCCAGATGCTTCATGTGTGTGTGTGGGGGGGGGGGTTGGGAGGGTTGGGGTCATGTCCCCAGAAGGGCAAGGCTGAGAAGGGGCACTGGGCAGAGTGTCCAAGGAGCTCTCTTCTCTGTGGAGGGACCTCACCTTGGTCCTGGGCCTGGCACAGCCCCACCTCAGTGATCTCCCGACACCAGGCCTGCAGCTCAGGGTCCCCTCTCACGGCGTCATCGTCATGGTAGAAGAGGTGGATGATCCCTTCCACGTACCTGCCCAGAGGAGAGGGGACCTCAGCTCTGCCAGAGGACAAGACTGTAGCCTCTGACCACTACTCCTTTTCTGTGGCCTCTGCCCAGCTGACTCTCAACTGTGTCTGGGGACAGATCTTACAGAACTTACTTTTTGGGTCATCCTTGAGCTCTTTCTACACACTAGGTTAGAAAGGAAGGAAATGTGGGTCATTAGTTTAAGAGTTCCCTACACATGATTAGTAACCATTCTTTCTAACAACACCCTGTTTCTTCTAGATCCTGTCTCCCCATTCACAGCCTTCCCAACCTAGGCTCTCTGCCTTTATTCCACTTTCCTCCTTTTCAGATGCTACCCACTGCCTGCTCACCCTTCATCTCTCCCAGGCTGAGCCCTCTGCTCCTCCTGTCTGGACTTTCCTGTTTGATCTTCCTATTGCCCCAAGCTGACCTCAGGCCAGAGCGCCATTCTCCCTCTCCCCAGAGCCCCTTCATTTCTCAGCTCCCACTCTCACCCACCGGGCAATGATCTCCCAGAGCCGTAAAGCATCCTGGGCATAGAGGGCACTTGGGATTCCCAGCAGGCCCCGGTCAGCCAGATCTTCAGGAGCACAGAGGGAGCGGTAGGTCAGCTGAGCCAGGGCCCGACGCATCAACTGCACGTGGCCCCCTCCACCGATGCTCGCAGCCTGGAATTTGAGAGTGGACAGGTCTTGAGGGATAAAAGAAGAGCTGCAGAATCTTGCCACAGATTCAGAGATAGGTTTCACAAAATTAAAGTATAAAAGGGACAGGCTCATGAGTTTAAGGGTCAGGACATTCATATTAGGTGGTCTGAGTCTGCAGGTGGCAGGAGATTATAAAATGATGAACAATTAGGCAACCCCATGCCCCCATGTCCTCTTTACCTGATTAAATACTCCACTCTCTGAGTCTAATTGGTTCCGTGCCCTGACGTTGAGCTCCACGGTGTTGCGGGTGTGTGGGATCAGGAGCTGGAAAATGGAAATTAGAGGGGGTAGTTAATGGAGACCACACTTGGGTCCTTCCTTGTAGGGAGTAACACTCAGCATGGTGACTTTCTCTCCTGTTGATGCTTTTCTCCCTGTAAGTGCCTTTGCAGGCTGGTCTCCCTCTGCTTCTATGATCACTAACTCTCATGCTTCCACAACTCTACTGTGATGGGTCTCTGGGGCTAGACTGACTTGGGTGTGAGTCCATGCTTAATCACTCACTTTGACACTTGTTCAAGGTAATAACCCCCCTTAATGTCAATCTCCTCATCTGTCAGCAAGGATGATAATAGGTCTCCTAAGTCAGGTGCTGTGATGATGCTTACATGAGTGATGTACAAAGAGTGTTTGGCTTAGTGCCTGGCACACAGAAGCATTGATTAGGAGATGTTATCATTACCTTTATTGTATCCGCCTTGAATGTCATTGTCCATTTAGAATCTACCTCTTAGTTTTTGATATTGTTTGATGCTTCCTCCATCATTCACATCTCCTCATTCCTTACACAGCCTCTCTGCTCATACTCAAAGTTCCTCCTCTAATTGCTTATTGTTTTACTCTTGAACTCTTTTGGGAAAAGGGTACTTTCAGTCAAAATTTTAGGAGCCATATCAAGCTACCTGCTTAAGCACAAGTATTTTGTCATCAAATCTGTTCCCGATCCCAACTGTCCCCTCTTTCCTGCTTTTTGTTGTTGTGGTGGTGGTTTTTTTGGTTTTTCTTTTACCTATTTTTAAAACTACACCTGATTCTGACGTGTGCTTTTTTTTTTTTATCTTAGATGATTTTATGTCATTTTAACCCGATTGATATATACGATTCAGACTGTTTGGGTATTGATCAGAGCTTTCTGATGCTGGAAAAGGGGAGGAACACAAGTGATCTCCCCGTATGAAGATAACAAGGAAGTTCATATTGTTCTTTTCAGAGAGTTCATGGAGGGATGCCAGTGTCACAGAAAATACAAAGACCACAGCAAGGAAGAAAGAACCTAGAACAGAGTTCCGAATAGTAATGATAGTAATGATGGTGATAACCAAAATAACAGCAGATTTTTATGCATTTAGTCCATAATGCTTTCATAATCTAACAATGGAGATCTTGTTATCCTCCGTCAGAGATGAGGACCCTGAGCACACACCTGGTAAGTTCTGACACCAGGAGTCAGGCTTCAGACCCCAGCATTCTGAATCCAGAGCCTGCACAGGTAACCTTGGTAACTTCTGCAGGCTTAGCCCTCCCAGGTGTTCTAACAAAGACTGTCTGCCATGGGATGAACTTGTTATGGGGAGGGAATATGAGTGTGGTTGGGGGCTGATCTAATAAAGGAGGATTTGAAGTGTAAAAGTAAATGTAAGTGATTCAAGTTAGGAAGGAGATGGTGATGCACAGGTATCAAGGGGTTATCAAATCTAAGATCCCATGAACTACATTAGTAGCTATTTTGTCTGTTTCTTCAGAACCCCAAACATCCACAGTTCAGGGGAGGATTAGGGTGAGAACTCCCAGGGACATTACAGTCCAGATGTTCTGCCAAATACTCGTTTGCATACCTTACCAACACTCCAAACTCTGCATCTAAAGCTCAACGCCTCATCTTTGCCCCCAAACTAGCTACACTGTTTCTGACCACTGCTCTGGTTCACAGGCTAATAGATGTTTGTCCCCTCCTCTGCCCTGTTTCCTGTAACCAAGTGCCATGGAGATTTGGAAAACAATTTTAAAACAAGCACAAGTCCTATTTTGCTGCCTTCTGCCTAGCAATAGACACTGACTCACTGTTGATAACATTACAGTATGTCATTACTTACAACATTACTTGGTAAGTAGGACAGCATGCAGTTTGTGAGCTCCTAGGTCTAACAGTGCTGGGACCTCCAACCTTTCTCTCCACTATCACACAGGCACACTGCAAGTACTGTGCCCTCCCTTCTACCCTGTCACCACCATGCTAGTGTACACCCTTAGTCACCTCACTTTTGGGTAGATGTCAGTGAGTAGCTGGGCTGCTATCCTTTCCCTTTTATCTTGTGCTCCTCATAACCTTCGGTTGTAGTAGCACATTCTCCATCAGTACTACAGTGATTATAGCTGTCTCTTGTGGTTTCATACTCTATTCCCAGATATTGTTCTCTGGCTGTTTCTCATGTCTAACACATGTCTTCACGGCTAAATGGTAAAACTCCTAAGGCAGAAGCAACATTTTTGTTTAACAAGTTATGTTATATTCCTACTCTCCTCCAGATCCATTGCTGGAGAACTGACTTGCAATATGTGTGGGAAAATGCTAAATGACTTGACTTAGTAGGATAGATGGGACCTATATTTATTATTTCTTATAACTGTATGTGAATCTATAATTAACTCAAAATTTAAAAAATTTAAACATGAAACTATAACCACAAGATTCAAGGTCTAGCCATAATTATCTATTTCTTGTCTCAATCCACCTATGAAGATTCTTTGCTGTAATACCAATCAATGCTTGATGATTGCAAAGCAGGTTTGTTACATGTTCCCACACAGATGGCTCAGGCTTTTTAAATCCTACAGAGCTGCTAGGTTGCTTCCTTTCTATGAAATGTAAGCAAGATGGGACATGGAGGGTAGAGGATGTACCTTGAAGACAGGGTGCAGTCCTGGGAGGCACCTCATGGTGGCCACAATGATGACCTCAGCCAGCAGGTGAGTGTTCAGGAAGTGATACTGGAGCTCTTGAAGTTGGATATCTGAACTTCGGACCCAGCACTTTGCCAGGAGCCAGGCAAGTGGAGGATCTGAGGGTAAGAACAGTGGTGGGGTGGGGCAGCTGCAGTCGGGAGGCTGGATCTGCAATAAAGAGGAATTAAGCATTCATTGACCTCATCAGATGTTAGACAGTAGGCTTAGTGTTCCAGGGGAAACTATTGACTAAGATGATTGCTTCCCAGGGGGTTATAATCTAGTAGGAGGAATGAGGACCCTTCCATTTGTCCTCTCACTAGCTGTGGGAAAGGACAAGTGCCATGGTGGTCAGGTTCAAAGCAGGAGGAACTGGAAAGCAGAAGTCCAGTATGACTGGAGAAACCTGATGAGGGTGTGGGTTAGGATGGTAGAACAGGAAAGGGAAGCTGGATGTGTGAAATACTTGATGGTTCTCATCAACTGATTGATGAGAATAGTAAGAGTGAAAATGCACTAAAACCAAGAGTGAAAAGATGTCTAAGCAAGAAGGGGTATTCCACAGATTCAAAGGTCAGAAAGAGATTGAGTAGCCTTAGGGTGAGAACCAACAGAGACCAGTATGACTCTCAAAAAGGTAATTTCAGATGAGTAGTGAGCAGGCTGTAAGGCAGAAAGGAGAGATTGGAGAAAAGGACAGGTCTCACTGAGTGAGGCAGGGGTGGGGGGCAAGAACTAGCACTCTTTATCTCTGGGCAGGACTTGAGGTGAGCAGAATGTTGGGAGGAGAATGCCCAGGGCACCTCACCTGGATGACCATGGGCCGCAGCTTCCCACTGGGTTCCATCTTCAGCATGACAAGGGGGGCAGCCAGGTACTGCTTCTCTCCTTGGATCTCGTTGGCTGGAATTCCATCCAGCAGGATAAAGTCTGCTTGAAATAGGGAACTGTTCTGGGGAAAGAAGTTCAGAGTCTATTCAGGATGGCCAGGGCCAAGGGGAAGAAATGTAATAACATTCAGTCTGCTTTCCTGCCATTTTCCTACATCAGTACCAGAATTCTACTGACTGAGAGGAAGGAAGCATGCAGAACATTTAGTCCAAGCCATCTTATTTCACAGTGAGAAAAGAGTAAAATGAGAGGAGTCTTCCCCAAGGACCTGTCGATTCACAGTGGCAGTGGGGGTTTTAAGACATATATGACCAATTCACTTTGCACACAGGCATGCTAAGCTCTCCCTTGTCAAGGTGTCCAGGCTCCTTCCCTCATCATATCCTAATTTCCTGCTCCTCTGTCTGGCAGCCACCTGTCTCATACTTTCCCCTGCATGCTTTATCACCTCTGGTCTTTCCAGCAGAGGACTCTGCAAACAAGGACAGTAGGTTACCACAGCCTCCCTTCCCTGACTCACCTTTGGTCCCTCCCCCTCACCACTTCGCATCCCCACACAGACTAGGAGAAGACTGCAGAGGGCTGGAGGGTGTACCTGGAGTTCTTTTTCCAACTGGGCCCGAAGCTCCTCCATCCCTGAGGGCAGCACCAGCCGGGAGGGCAGAGAGGTGGAGCGTCTCAACAGCATGGGGTTGGCGCCATTGAGGAACTGGTAGCCAAAAAGCTCATCATCCTGCCAGCCCTGGTGAACCTTCTCTGTGGTGTCAGGGTGGAGGGTAGAAGAAGGATATTCACCACAACCCCATGTCCCTCTCCCTTAGGGTTTAATACAGCAATTCAGGCATAGGATCACCCTTTATCCAGCTCCTGTCTTTTCCTATTGAGAAATGACCATCCATAATATCTTATCATCTGGGAACTACCTATAAAGGACCATGGAATGTGAAGTCTGGGACATCAAAAAGGCTATCAAGGAACACAGGCCTATGGGAATACTGACCACAAATGGTGCTTGTGGGGTCCCAGTAGATCTGATCAAAATCCTCTAGAGTGTTCCAGGACTTCAGAAGAGTGTAAACACGTTTAAGAACCATCTCCAAAACCCTAGGACAGATATCAAGGATGACACCATCAAGTCACCAAATCCCGTCTGTTCCTGGATCCACCACTCCCCACTCCATTAAGATCTTTTCTCACCCTGTCATCGCTCTTCGTTCATAGTCAGTCTTCTTCCCACTATGAAATGTCAAATCTATGGGCAGATCCTTCTCAGAGTCCGCAGCTATGTTCAGGGGTAACCCTTCCTTCCAGGTGCCCCAACTAGAAGACGAAGGAAAAAGTTCAGAGAGGAAGTAGGGTTCAGTGATGGTGGCAGGAACAGAGAAGGGGTGGAAAAATCAGGAGGGTTATGGGTGGGTGGTTACCAGTAGATCAGCTGTCTTTCCTTCAGTTCTTCTTCTCAATGCTTCTGGAATTTGTCCCAGGTACTCTTTACTGCCAGGCGTGCTGGGAGGACAATTGATCATATAGATTTGTCCAATTTGTGCTATCTATGACTTGATCTAATCTCTTTCTGGATTGTATTACATCATATGCGTGCTTTTTCTCTGGTTCTACCTCAACTGATGTATTCCAAAGTCTCTTATCTTTGCCCTATTCCTGATTTCACCTATTTCAGCTCCATATTTGTCCTTAAGCAAAATCCCAATTTTTCTCCCTTTCTTGTTCTTTAAGTCAAATTCCCCTACTTGTCCCTATAGATGATTATAAATTTTCTTCTTAATCACTTGCCATGTCCAAGCTATCCCATATTATCATGTATTACTTTTACATCTCAGCTATACTAGCCTTTCCCTTTCTATTACCTTCACCTGTCCTCCAATTGACATGTTTCATATTAATCATACTTATGCACCCTGCTCTTCCCTGTCCCCACCCCCACCTGATTCCTGGGACAAAAATTCTATGTGTGCTCCCTTCAACCATTCCATCTCAGCTGTCTTAGGCAACAAATAGTTCCAAGTTGCTATGCTTACCTGGCTCCATCTCACCTAGCCTCACCACCACAGAGTTTATATTTGTTAAACTGACTTATCCTCTTGTCACCTGTACTTATATTGTTCCTCAAAGACACCTATTTCATGTTTCCACTTTTAAAATTAAATGTATTGGGACCTAGCTGGTTTGTCTGAGCAGTTAGAGCATCGGCCTGTGGTCCAGAGAGACCCAGATTCGGTTCCTGCTAAGGGCATGTACCTGGGTTGCAATTTGTCCCCTGCCCTGGTTGGGTCATGCGGGTGGTGACCACTCAATGTGTCCCTTTCATGTCGATGTTTCTCTCTCTCTCTTCTTCTCTCTCCCTCCCGCTCTATCTGAACAAAGAATGGAAAAATGTCCTCCGGTGAGGATAAAAAAAAATACCCATAAAATTAAATTTATTGGGATAATATTGATTAATAGCATAATTTAAATTTCTGGTGTACAGTCTTATAATACGACATTTTTATACTCTGAGTGTGCTCACCCCCCATAATCTAGTCTCCTTCTGTTCCCCCTCTTCCCTCTGGTAACCACCATTCTGTTGTCTGTATCTATGAGTTTGTATGTTTGTTTGTTCATTTGTTGCTTTTTGTTTTATAGCCATTCATCTTTTTAATGGCTGATTAGTTTCCATTCTTACTTACCCTTATTTTCTTTTTTTTATTTTATTTTTGTTACAGATGTTTCTCCTTTTTTACCCCATTGACACCCTCCTCTCCATCCCCTCCCCTGCCCCGCCCTGGCTTTGTTTCCCATGCCCATTGGTTATGCATACATGCATATAAGTTCTCTCTGTGGTTTATCTCTTCCCTCCCTCCACCACCCCCTCTTCTGAGGGTTGTCAGTCTGTACCCTACTTTCACGTCTCTGGGTCTACCCTATTCCTCAGACTGTTATGTTCATTATATTCCACATATAAGTGAGATCATATGGTATTTGTCTTACCCTTATTTTCAATTGTGTCTCTAGTCGTATATCCCCTCCATGTGTCTCACAGCAACAAATTCCATATTGCCCCTGCCCAGTCAACCCCACCCCAGTCAGTGTGCTCCCTGCTCTCACAGCGGTCCTTCGTGTTCTCCCAAACTAGCTCTCCAGTCTTGTCATGTAGTGTTTCCCTTCCTTATCTCCTCTCAGGGGTCACATCCACCATGTTGTTCCATGTGCCATCCTCACCCGTCCCAGCCCTAACCTGTTCCCAGTCACACAGAGCTCTCCTTGCCACTGTCCTTGGGCTCCTCTGTTCCCAGCATTGCTGCAACTCCATTCCCTGCGCTCACCTTCTCCGCAGGTGGGAGCTACATACACATCACTATTTTCCGGTCAGTCCCACTCCAGCCTTTCTAATTCTATGTATAACTTTGGCACTTTGTAACTTTCCCCTGGTTTCCTGTGTTGTCCACCCTTAACCTGCTGAGCAAGCTCTGTTTCAAGCCCCTCGGACCTTCCGCAGTGCTAGCCCTGCCCACTCAGTAGTCCCGAGGCCCTGCACCCACTTCCCTGAGGCGCCCCTCACCGGTGCCCTCAGGCAGGCTCAGCACTCCCTCGCCCTGCACCCAGCGGTAGCACGGGAAGGCGGCCTCCGCGCTGTCGCCGGGACCCTGCACCGTGATGCGGTCGCAGAACCACGCGTCGTCCACCAGGGAGTGGTGTTTGCGCAGCTTCACGAACTGCAGTGGCCCCAAGTCCTCGGGGACGTCTTGCTCAAACTCCTCCACCTGTGGGCACCAGAACCTGCTGAGACTTAGTAGCGGGGACCTGGGGGAGGATTTTTACTGGGGGTGCAGGGGTCCTTTGTGGAGTCTGGTGACAAGGCCTCCAAAGACTGCATTCCCTCCTCCCACGCAGATGCCTAGTCGCACCGGAAGGGACGCGGGGCGAAGACAGAGGTGTCTTGAACTGAGGGAACTGAGCAGCATCACCTACACCCGCCAGCAAGCTGAGCTCTTACCGCGCTGGCGCTCTCTGAGGACCTCCCCACTTTGAACACAGTTTCCATAGTGACGCTTGCCTGAGGTCACTTGGGAAAGGAGTGAAGGCTGCCCGGACAAAGGTCTGGGCCATGGCTCTGACTCTCTCACCACCCAGGGGCAGTTGTCCCTTCTCCCAGGTAGTCCTGGGGGAGTGGTGGCACTGTCACTGGCTCCCCAGCCTCCCGTGTCCCGCCCTCCCTTACGCTAGGAGCCAGGCCCGGGCGGGCTCTGAGTCCCCGCGCCCCCACCAACCTGGCCCCGCGCCGGCCGCAGCTGCAGCTGCAGCTCCGCCTCCCCGCGCTCCCCGACCAGCCACAGCTGCACGCGGTTGAACGACCCAGAGAAGGCCCAGGCGCCGGTGGCCACGCGGATGCGGTAGCGGACCATGGCAGCGGGTGGGCTCGACTGGGCGTCAGAGGCTCCGTTACTGATACCAGAGAAAGACTCTGCGCCAGGCTTCGTCCTGGTGCCTGCAGGACACGTCCAGGGCTTTATAAAGCAGAACTGTGTGCCACCCACTGCAGGGTTGGTCCCCACCCCAGACACACCAGAAGCTGGGATTAGCCCAGAGGGTGGGGAAAGGCGGCTGCTCCTCAGCACAGAGCTGAGAAGTGGGCTGGGAGGTTGACGAGGGCCTGAGCCTGGGTGCAGGAAGAGATGGAGAGGGGCAGGGCGAATCCAGCCCACTTTGCTCTCTAGACTGTCATTCTCCTCATTTACTCCCCTCACCCCGCCGCACCAGTTTTACTACTGAATAGCATTTTCTGAAGGCGTCCTGAGTGCCAGTCCCTTTTCCTGCTGGCAGCGTCTGGTGCCCCTGGGAGACTGTACCCACTTCCTGTTCACCTGCCAGGTCAGCTTGCTGAAGGGGCATTGGGATTGTCATGGTGGGCCAGAGAAGGCCCTTCTTAAGGGACACTCCAGAGTTCAGGAATAAGTTAGAGTATTTTCTGTAATAAGACTTTCGGTGTCAGTGCACCTAGAGAGAAGCTAATGTGTTCCTTTTCTCCCTTTTGTTTTCTTCACATCTCAGCCCAAGACAGACAATGATCATCAATATCTACTGTTCCTTGCTTGTCCACTTCTTTCTGTTAATAGGATGTTCCATGTAGTTTGGGTCATCTAACACAAAATTAAGATCACACTATACATTTATTTTTTTTGGAAGTTGCTTTCCACAGTTGAAAATACATGATGATAATATCTGCAGGTCAGTAGATGGAGATCTAACTGCTCTCCTGGCTAGCTTGAAGACTTACCCTCTTGATGGGTGTTCGGCATTAACTAGGATGAGTGCTTTAATGAATGCTTTTGTATGCATACACTTATGTACCCTTATATTTAGAGGATAGATTCCAAGAAATGAGATTTCAGACTAAAACACATGTATGCATGTGTGTGTGTGTGTGTGTGTGTGTGTGTGTGTATAATATGTTATATATGTATAGCATTTTAAAAATTATTTTTGTTGTTGAAAGTATTACAGATGTGCCTCCTTTTGCCCCAATGACCCCCCCACCCTCTATTTATTCTTGAGTCAGTTTTGGTAGATTATGTCTTTCAAGGAATTTGTCCATTTATGGGGGGTTATCTAATTTGTTAGTCTACAGCGTTTATACTATTCCCTTATAATACCTTTCATTTCCCCCATTTCCCCCCTCTTCCCTCCTACACACACACACACACCTTCACTGCACTATTTTCTTCTTCCATTGGTTATGCATATAAGTTCTTTGGTTTACCTCTTTCTGCCGCCTCACCTCTCTTCCCTCTGAAGCAAAGTATTCTACAATTAAAAAAAAACAAAAAACATTTTTTCAGGTATGTTTGACATGTAAAATCCTACATATTTGATGTCTATAATTCAATGAGTTTGCCAATAAGTATACACCAATGTATATTATTGTCAAATTGCTTCCCCAAAAAGCTGAAGCATGGTACCAGAGGGCCCTTTTCTCTGCATCTCCACCAGCATAGAAACTTATCACTTAATTTTTGCCAATAGGACAGGTGTAATTTTCATGAACAGTGAAGGGTCTGGGATTTTACCCAACTTAAAAACTAGTCAGTATTGCCCTGGGTGGTTGGCTCAGTTGTTTGAGTGTTTTCTTATGAACTGAAGGGTGGTGGGTTTGATTCCCAGTCAGGGCATATACTAGGGTTGCAGGTTCGATCCGCAGTCAGAGCGTGTGCCAGAGGCAGCTGATCAATGTTTCTCTCTCATCTCTCTCCCTCTCCTTTCCTCTTTCTCCTCCCTCCCCCTTCCTCTCTCTAAATCAATTTTAAACATTTAAAATAAACTAGTCAGGTCTGACTAGTTGGTGTTTGGGGGATGGTGAGAGAAGACACACAACTTCTACTTCAGTAACAAACGGGACATCATTACTCAGAGCAAAAGCAGTAGCCACAGTTTCTATTCACACCAGTTCCTCCTGTCTTCCCAAGACCCACGAATGTAATGCAGGTGGTCTACACACAGTGGGCTGCATTATAGGAGAGGACCACTAACTTTGGGGGACTCACCACTTTTGTGGTAAGCAGATTCATGTCCATTCTTTGACTATAGGAACATGACTTCATTGCTCATGGTTGCCACTGCAAAAACAATGTTGATAAATAGCCCAAGTAAAGAGCAGTATTTATGGTATACCCCGCAGAAAGACCTATGGGCACTCAGGGCCCAGGGCAAATCATCAGCCCCAATAGAATGAAGTGTGTTAGCTACTTAACCCCTTCTAAGAGCTTCCTAACAAATATAAAGTAAAACCTAAGTCCTCACCAAGGTGTGGTTGTCACTGTTAAACCTGCTGTCAGTGTAATGTAAAGAAAATATGTAGAAAGGGAAGAATATAAATGTGGCCCAGCAGAAAGTTCTGTACACGTTAAGATGGTGAACCCCTGAGTTTTGATAGCACATGCCCTACCCCTCTCCATGAATCTAATACTATAATCACAAGCCTATTATTCCAGGCCCTCTGTCCTGGTAGATCTTCACTCTGCATGAGCAGTGACCTGTACTGAACATCTAGCTTGCCTCCACCACAAAAAGGACTCCACATGAAACTACAGCTACTTCACTCCACCAGAGCTCTGTGCCTGATCTCAGTATATCCCTTATACCTTATACCTTATACTTGCTGACTCAGCAATAGACTGACCTTAAACCAATTCTAATTCCACATTCTTGCCAACTTCTAATCCAGACATCTTTTTTTTTTTTTTAATCCTCACCCGAGGACATTTTTCCATTTTTTTGCTCAGGTAGAGTGGGAGGGAGAGAGAGGAAGAGAGAGAGTGAGAGAAACATCGACCTGAAAGGGACACATCGAGTGGCTGCCACCCGCACGACCAACCAGGGCCGGGGACAAACTGCAACCAAGGTACGTGCCCTTAGCGGGAACCGAACCCGGGTCTCTCGGGACTGCAGGCTGATGCTCTAACCGCTGAGCCAAACCGGCCAGGGCTAATCCAGACATCTTTATGCAATATTTTACTTCTTAGGTATACTCCAGCTAATAAATGAAGCAGGAATAATGGAGTTATAGTACCGACAGTTGGCAACTCTTAATAAAATAATGCATCTAAAAAATGGTTATCTATTGTGGCTAAATTCACAAAAAGAGATGTTGCCACTGATTATGTGCCTCTGGGAGAAAGATTTTGAACCAACTATGAATGCATCTTGAAACATAAAACTGTTAGCAATTCTCATCAAATCGATAGATACAACTACCAACTTGTAAGAAGTACAGAGGATAAAGGAACATGTTAAACCACCAGGAAATAACCAGCAAACTTTGTCTGGGGAGACAAACGTTTCATCACCATAAACATGGCAAGAGATGAAGAGAGGAAAATGAGACATACAGGTTAAATACAAGTGACTTCAGAAACAATTGCAACACATGAGCCATAAATAACATTGCGATTCTCTTTGGGATGGAGCAGATGTGAGGATATTTGGATAACAAAGAACTAGTAGAGAGAGAATCGTTTAAGAAGCAGGGTACAGAAGGCATAACTAATGAAGGGACAGCATGACAGGAGTGGGAGGATGAAATTCAAACCACATAGAAGAACCAGCATTGGATGGACAGGAAGACTCTTCCTTTTTAACAGAAGGCAAAGCACAGAAAATTCTTTGTAGGGATATTGAGGAGGTTCCCATCTCAGTTTCTATGTTCATTCCACTCCTCTTTCTATCCCTGCTGCTACATGTTCTCTACTCCAGGACCCAGGTATCACAGTCCCAGAGCTGCCCCAGAATGGCAGGATCAGGCTTCCTCAGATGTCTCCTTCCAGTGGACATGCAAGGTTAAGTTCTAAATGAGAATGGAGCCCACCTAGGCTGCAGAGGGGGCAGTCTACCCAATTTGGAGTGGGGTGTCTCTGCTTATAGTTCCAAATTTCACTTATATTTATTTTCATTAGCTCTTTTTTATTGAATTTCTTGGGGTGACATCGGTCAGTAAAATTATCTAGGTTTCAGGTGTACAATTCTGCATCATTTGCACATTGCATGGTACACTCATCATCCAAAGTCTAGTCTCATTCTGTCACAATTTTTTTTTTTTTTTTTGGTACGTTCCCCTAGCAGGAACCGAACCCGGGACTCTCTGGTCCACAGGCCAATGCTCCAACTGCTGAGCCAAACTAGCCAGGGCTCATTCTGTCACCATTTTATCCCCCATTTACCCTCTTCCACCTGCCCCACCCAGCTTACATCTGGTAATCACCATACTGTAGTCTGTGTCCATGAGGTTTCTTTCTTACTCCCTTCACCAGTTCAACAGCTCTTGTTCTAATATATTTCCCTCATTATTTTCTCAACCTAACTCATTATTTGCCTGCTGGTGCTGGTCTCTGCTCTTCCCTGATGACTCAAACTTAAAAGCTGTCCCTCCCAGATGTTATTGCCCATGCAGTCACACAACACACGTTTTCTGAAAGTTGGCATAATGGAATGAAGGATTATTTCATCCCCTAATACAGCCAGAGCAATGACAACTACTATAAGGCATTTATATTGTTAAATGTTTTATGGCTATTCTTGACAACAAGGTTTCCCTCTGCTGACTTTATTCCCAGTATTTCCCCTAACACACACACACACACACACCACACACACCATGTTGCTCGGGTCTCTCACTCTCTCTTCTCTTTCTTTATTTCCAGTCACTCTCACAATGCTCCCCTTTTCGTCATTTCTATTTCAATCACATTGGAAAGCAAATATAATTCTCTTTATTTTACAGGAGAAGTCAAATTGTTTGACCATTTATTGTTTGAACATCATAAAGTAAAGGCAGAGACAAGGTGACTATTCACAGTTTCAATTCTTTGCCATCATCTCTTTCCCAGCAGTTGTTGCAAGTAGAAGAAAATAG